CGGACGAGACGCCACCGTATTAAGGGTAAAGTCAGGGCTGATTAAACTTGTCTTATTGTCGGATGACATAAAGTTGCGATAATATATTCGATGAAAATATATATCGTTCAACTGAGACACAAAACCACAGACTTACCGAGGACAAAATATTTTCCTGCCGGGCTCATCAATTGAAGTAACGTCGACTACGACCGAGCGTGACGCGCTTCAGAACGGGAACCCCGAGCTCGCAGCACAACCAAGTTACAGCTGGTTAAACCAGAAGACTTGTGGTTGTAGACGTTTGTTGAGGTACCGTGGCACGGAGAAAGTACCGGTACCGGCTAACGAACGTTTGTGTTAAAGCGCGAAGGCGAGCGAACCAACGAGCGCGATAACGAGCAAAACGGAACGGAAGCGAAAAATTGAAAGTTTCCCTCGCGAAAGGATACAGCAGTTTTCAATCGTATAAAACAAACGTCACATGGCGTTGGTACTGAAGTAAAAATGTGAACGTACATTCAGATTGTAGATAAAAATGGTGTCCGTCAAATGTCTACTATTGTCTGGCTTTTACCGTACAATCGATCACGCTACATGCCTCCCGAATAGATCAACGAGTAAGGCGTAGCCGGAATCGGATCCCAAAACGTCAACGAAACGTACGATCCAGGAAATTTCTACGGTACTGCATTAATGAACGATCAAGCGATGTAGTACCCTACCAGGTGATCTCGAAACAACATAAAAAAGGACCAAGTGTTAATGTGAGCGTAAGTTAATAAATCTGAACGGGAGAAAGGAAGCCTGGATAAGAATAGCACGCTCACCGTCACGCTGTACTCAAACGAGTGAAATGTGGGCGGTCAGGTCGCGATTAAAACAAATATGATACGAATAAAGCAGAGAACAAAGTCAAATCATGGGATCGCCTTGTAAACATAAAAAGGAGGTGGAATTCCAAATGTCTGTGTATGTATGAGGTGCTTGGTGTTAGGTGAATGAAACGTGAAATTCACGAAATGTGGAACCGAGGTGGATTGATTGTGCTTTACAGGAAGTATTTTCACAGATCAATCAATATACCTGCCAGTAAATTCCTTCCTCACGTCATACGGTCAAAGGGAAATTAGGGGGAGTACCAATTCTTACCTTAACTGCCTAACCCTTACGGCTGTTGTGCTACTGTACTGTGCCTCTCGCCATTCCCTGTCTCCGACAGCGTGGGAGGTTACCAACAAGCCGTTTTCCAAGACTCACAGCGCCTCCATCGCTAGCCCGGAGGTTTCCTCAACTGCAGATGTTCCCAGTCTGCTCCGCCTTTTCTTTCTCCAGGTAGCAGATTCGGCGGATGTCTCGCTATCCGCCGGCTTCACATAAACCGTACGTACGAATCCGTCTTCGTCCGGGTGGCATTCTTTATTGATAACCAGAGGCCATTCATCTCTTTGTAAACGTTCATCCGCCTACTGGAAAGTTTCCTACGGATCTCGAATTAAGCGCGTGACATCCAAGTGTCTCTTCGCAGTGGGTAGAAAAAACTCTTAGTGGTCAGGGACGTTCAATGGCGTATCTTGGTGCTCGCCAGCATCCTTGTAAATCGACAGAGCGTTTCTTATGAAGTTCTCAGCAACCATGAAGGTTAAATTTTTGTACTCATCATTTCCTTCTTTTGACGAGATGTGTAATTTTTTGACTGAAATGTACATCCGTTCACGCAAAATTCTATCCGAATACAACTAAAAACCGCTAACTGGTGGATAGACAAAGCCTCCACACATACCAGTCACTTCGTTCACGTTTGTCCCCATAATATTTCAAATTAGTTTATAATCTCGTATTACTAATCCTTTTCATTGCTCTGCCTAAAATATTGCAGAAAATTAATTTTTAAAATAAAATTCCTTTCACATAGGCATACATTAATATAAACTAGTAGACACTCATAACCTCATTATTCCAAAAATAGCTAGCTACTTAAAACAGTTGGGGAAATATGAGCGAAAACATGACTAAACCTAACAGTGTTTTCCCGTGTGCGTGCCCACGGATAAATTTTGGTAAGCCAGTCGTGCACTGGTACAGCACGTGTGTGATTACTGTTCAAGCCAGGCCAACAGCACGGCCGGTCAACAAGCCGAAATCCAAATGGTCTCCGATTTCGACTGACGTGTCACACCAATTAAGGGATTTATCAGGCCAACATTTGTTCACAGGGGCAAAAAAGGTGACGGAATGACTCTGTAGTGTACTACAGCAGCATTATTAGCATGTCACATTCTACCATACTGTACGAGAGGCAATGCTGACAAACCCTTAAGTCAGCAACCATTGGCCATTCCATACACATCGCTTGGATCAAAGACAGAAACTATTTGATTAAGGACAATTAAATTTCAAAAAACAAACGAAGGAAAGGCATCGAAAATTCTCTTACACATCTGACCAGTTTTTAATCTAATTAACAATTAGTAAGAGATACCTATTTACGCCAACCATAGGATACCGCTCAGCGTTTAACCAGTAGAGTTAAACAACCAAAAGCTATAGCATTGATAAAACCAAAATTTACATTCAACGCCCACATAGTTGAGTAAAAACTACACATGGTATGATAGTCGGGTGTATAGCCAAAAGCGAAATGGGACAGCAATATATACGTGGAATAAGAACGGACCACAGTACGGTAAATTCAAAAGAAATATCGGTGACAGTTAGGCAAAATCACGAAAAGCCGGTTGTCTTATGGACATGAACAGGATGTGGCAAAAGTGGAACGGTAGATAAACAGATAAAGGAGATGGAAAGCACTTTTGAATAATAATGATGAAGAATCCCCGGGAGAAAGATGGAGAACTGACAAATCATTGAATGGTGGAAACACCCAGAGAAACTGATGTCAATGAGCAAAAGATTGGGATAATCAAAATGACTCGACGATATACGCGCTCGGAGAAGGTTGTTTCCCGTCGAGATCGAGCTGAAGGCTTAGTTGAGAAGACTGCGCTCGCTAAATACCCGAGCACGTTGTGCTTCAACATTGCCCTTCCAGCGTTGTTGTTGATCTTTGACACGAGTAACCACATTATGTACGTTCACGGTGGGTGGAACGGTTGAATGACAATCCGTGGAAACCAACGTATCTGGTTTCATTACTCTTTGTCGTAATCTGCTTTCAACCGGGACGGTTCCTGTGGGAACAGATAAATGAGTGGGTGTGGACAGAATCAAATTTCACGTGGCTCAGTCACACTGCACATACCGAGCTCATACGTTCAACCGAACGCTTTTGCAAGAGATGAATTTTGTCTGACGAATAGAATAAAGACGGACACGGCGTGGAACAATACATTTATTATTTTCAAAAAAGCGATCGATGAGACGGAGACAAGCAAATACACGAATGTTTCTATCAGCTTACAACCTTTGCCAGCAACTAGTTGAATAATGAACCGTTTCTAAATTTTCGCATACTTTTGTCCTCACAGGAACTGAGTATTCACGGAAATCACAACAGTAACAATAACCAGAACACATAAGCAAATATCGAGGTATCGGAGAGAGACAGAGCAATATAAAATGATGTTACCATGTACTAACCTGTAACGAAAAACTCTACTGATCATCCTTCCGGATGTATAGGCTGACAACTAACAGTGAAGCATTCAAATATTTGTTCTTTCACCAACCAGGGTTATTTTCTCTTACAAATTAATGTTCCTTCATCGCATCACTCCTGGCTTAGTTATCCTTTGCCAACNCCCCCCCCCCCTAACCCGATCTATCCATCTGAAGCTCCCACGTCACAACTAGAGCCGACTTCTGCTCCAAAGTATACTGTATCAATCTGTCGTAAGTCAAGTGTCCCATTGGTCTCAGATGATGACTAACAAGGTTTTCATGAGCTTATTGCGAATTCCCACAGATCATTCTCTTGTGACTTTATTTTACAGCTACCGCATATGACAATTCCATCACTATTCGCCAAGTGTATAGGCAAACATAAATGCAAAATGAAACGCACGCATAGATGTCAGCACAAGTAAGTGATGACAACACAACTCAGCGGGACAGTGCCAGAGAGAAACTAGACAGCCTATTTGAT